CCAACTTATTTCTTCAATTTCTTGTTTAGCCTCACATTTCTCCTTTCCTTCTGAGACTCTGATGAAACACTAAATCTTTTACTATATTCTCAAGTTCTTGAGGTTTATAGTCTATTCTTGCTCTGTTGTTCAGGTTGATAATTTCTACTGTCCTTTCTGTTTTCTAATCAAGTTCCCTGATTCTTTTCTCTATTTCTTTCATTCTGCCTTTGAAGCTTCTCCAGTGATTTAAAATTTTATTTATTGTATTTTCTGCCGAAACCGGTTTGGCTCAGTGGATAGAGCGTCGGCTTGCGGACTGAAAGGTCCCAGATTCCATTCCGGTCAAGGGCATGTACCTGGGTTGCGGGCACATCCCCAGTAGGAGATGTGCAGGAGGCAGCTGATCGATGTTTCTAACTCTATCTCTCTCCGTCTCTCTCCCTTCCTCTCTGTAAAAAATCAATAAAATATATTTTTTAAAAAATTTTATTTATTGTATTTTCAATTCTAAAATTTTAATTTGGTTTCTTTTTATGTTTTCTATTTTATTTCCTTAGACTTTATATTTCTTTGCTGAGACATTTTTTTTCTCATTTGTTCCAATCATGTTGATAACTGCTTATTGAAGCATTTTTTTTATGATGGCTGCTTTACAATCCTCATTGGATAATTCCAACATCTTTGTCGTATTGGTGTTGGTATCATTCAAGTTGAGATTTTCCTGGTTCTAAGTATGTCAGGTTATTTATTATTGCATCCTCGACATTCTGAGTATTATGTTGTGTGACTCTGGATCTTAATTAAATCTTCTGTTTTAGCAGGACTCCCTGACACTCTTTGGTGGGGAAATGGAGATGCCACCTTTTTGCTGTCAAGTGGGAGTGGAAGTCAAGCTTTCCCACTGCCTCCATTGACACCTGCGGGTAGGAGGAAATACATTTACTGCTTGTGGGGAAGGAAGTTCAGGTTCCCCACTAGGCCTCTGCTGACACCAACTGGCTGAGAGAGGGAGGGCCACTTCATTACTGTTTCCTTACTGACACCCTGGGGGGCATGGATAAAAATTATGGCTCCTTCTTAGGCCCCATCCTAGAGGGGATGAAGGAAGGGGCACCTTGTCACAGCTGGGGGAGAGGGTGGTAGTCAAGGCTTCCCACATGGGATGGGATGGGTGTGGTGTAACAGATTTTTAAGTGGTGTTTGGCTGGAGTACAGCAGTTATTGTCTGAATGTTTTCTATCTTGCTAGGCTGCCCCTGTCCTGTTCCTTTGTCTAGAGAGAACAGGATTTTCTTTGGGGCTTTTATTGTCTTTTCCTGTTGGCATTTCAGTTTGGCAACTTACTCAGCATTCAGTCTAGGATATATTAGGCATAAAGAAAACCCAGAGAACTTACCACTAAGTTGTTCCCATAGCCCTTTACTCCACCTTTCAGAGAGTTCATGTTTGTTTTATTTATAGAATCCAGAGTTTTTAATTGTCTTCAGTGGGAAGAAATAGAGATAAATGGTCTACTCCATTTCAAGTGTTAAATAGACATGATCATCCATTTTACATTTATTTTGACTCTGATTTGTAGGTGAGGGCATGGGAACAATAGGTATAGAACACTCTTACATTTTATTATTTTTTGTTCTACCTGCTTTTTCTAATGCCACATCTCTGCACTTTAACCTAAATGTCTGCCCCAGCTCTTGTTGATTTGGAGACCTAGTAAGGCGTGCCAGAGCTGGGACACAGGGAGAGATATGATTATGGAGGGGACCCAACACTAGACTTAGAACTATAAACTTTTGGCTCTGGGGAACGTTTTCAGTGTTTAGTCTGCAATGATGGTAATTAAATGTTTTGTCCAAAACATATAGTGAGGGTGAGGTGTGGGAGCCGAAGAGTTAGTGGAAGCTGGAGCAGGGTGAAACTGAAACCCGACAATCAATGCGTCCCAGCTGCCTGTCACTACTTGAGCTGATTAAGCAGCGTCAGGGTGGAACCATATAGGAGCGTTTATTCCAAGAATGCTGGCAGTGTGGAAGAGCAGCAGGTCATCCACAAAAATATGCTCTCACATCTCCTACTAGCTGGCTGGTTACATAGGAATAAGGAAGAAAGGCTGCATACAAGGGGGAAGGGTGGGGGTGGCTGCAGGGTCCGTGGCCCCTGTGTCTCCTTCCAGGATCTTGAAGAGAATGGTCAGCGTTCCTGAGGCAAATTCCCAGAGGGCAACAGGGTCCAGGCACAGCAACCAAATCAAAACTGTCCTGTCCTTTGTCTGTTCTCAAAATGCATTTTCTTTTCTGAGCAATGGACCCATTCGGGCCCCAAGGTGTCTCTTATCTTTTTACAGCTCTATTTTTCTCCTTGCAGCACATCCTCCAGTTTCCCAGGAACTGTAAGAAAACTTCTTATCTATAGTAAGTAAGGTGAATACTCATTAAACGATTATGGCTCTATTCTTATTAAGTGCCCTTCCCCACTATCAGACCTCAGTTTGCAGAGCTGTGTGCAGATAGCTAGCAGAGGGCAGGGATCAGTGAAGCAGGGCCATCGCCTGGGGCTCATCTCCACCTTAGAAAGGTCTCCTCAAGTTTGTTGACTTTGACTTCTGAGACAGTGCAAGGTGTACCCAGGGAGCCTGCCAGTCATTGGGTGGTTGCCCGTACATACTCCGCACCTGACACTGCTCAGGGAGAAGCCAGGCAGCCTGTGCCAGCTTTCCGGTCGGAGAACATCTGGTTCCGCAGGCAGGGTGTCATCTCTGCACCCAGGAGACCAGGCTCGGCTGATTCTGATCCTTAGCTTCCCAAGCAGCGACACTCAGCCCCGCAGGGAGCGGCCGAGCCAGTGTAGGAGTATGATGCTCAGGAGACATCTCTGCAAAGTTCTCGGCATTGGGCTGACTCTTGTTATTGTCTACAATCTCCTCCTGGTAGTTTATACCAAGATGACTTTACAAAAGTTGATTCTGGGTGGTGTCCAAAAGGAGCTTCACTTGCCTCTGTCTGAATGGAACGGGACAGTGATAAAGAAACTTTCTCACCTGGAGTTGGAGTTGCAGCATCTGAGTAAGTTTTAACAGTCACTTGGAGGGGATTCTGTGTGTGTGTGTGCGTGCACACGTGTGCACACATGTTCATGCACACTTAGGGACTCTTAGAAGAAAGGAGTGGGGAGAAATTTTAAAATGAGTAAGAGTTCACGTTTTCATCTCTGAGTTGCTCAACTTAGCATCTGACATTGAATTCTATGCCTTCAAATGGACAGTAAGTGTTGAGAATTAGTGGGAATCAGAGCTGTCAACAAAAGAAAACATTCAAACGTTTAAAGGATTTTTGTGAGTTTATTTGAGCCAAACTGTCAACAATTGCCAGGAAGCAGAATCTCAGTGTACTGAGATAATGCTCTGAAAAATGGTGGCTTTTCACTTTTATAAACTTCTATCAAAGGAGGAGATGTAAGTGGGTTACATGAAATCCACTGGTGATAGAGTAGGGAAGTGAGAGAATGCAAAGCAGTAAAACCTCTGGGATTGGATACAAAGCAAAACGATAGATATTTGCTTCTTTTACATAGGTGGGTATAGAATATTAGCAGTGGACAACACGATAATCATCACAATTTGTGGTTTCTTCCCTGGTGTCATTAGTTGTGCCCTGAAGGGTCCAAAAAAAGGGAAGATACAAGTTACCCTGACATTCCACAGGTATGGTATCTTAGATGCAAAAAGATAATAGGCTCAGAAAGATTGAAGTTGATCTTTGTCAGGGAAGATACTGGACTAGGACAGGAATACCCACTATAAACTGCTTTTTAATTAAAGGTTTTAATTTCAGACTGTGCTTCGTGGTTACTTTAGGTGTCTTAGTTTGCAAGGCCGCCATGCAGGCCTTCTCTGAGCTAGTCAGGTTAGCATGTGGGCCCTTTTCATCCACATGATGTGAGTGGTGTGTGTGTATGCTGGCACACAATCATGATCACAAGCACATACATGCAGCCAGGAAGAGGCTCAGCAAACACTCTCAGAGAGGCTCGGGACTCTTTCTGCACAGCCCTGATTAGGACTTTGTGTGGCAGGGCTGACAAACAGAGGTAACTATCTCTGGGGCTAAGGCCTCATTTCCATTTTGCCTTGAGCTGCTGCCAGGGACTGGTGGGGCTTGTTGTATGACCTGAGGTGGAACCCTGATGTCACATGCTGATTGAGTGGTCTAAAGCCAGTGCTTATATCTCCCAGTGAGGCTCCTGGTCTGTGAGTGGAGATGATGAGACCATATCTGCCAGCCTCCCAGGGTTGTGAAATCAATGCAGTGTCGCATATTAACCTCTTCCTTTTATTGAGACATAATTGTCCTTTAACATTATGTTAGTTTTAGGTGTACAGTGTAATGATTCAATTCTTGTACTAACTGAATTGGTCACACCCGCCACCACACTTAATAACAAATATTTTTTTCCTGTGATGAGATCCTCTAAGGTCTACTCTCTTAGCAACTTCAAGTACACAATGCAGTGCTATTAACTGTAGTCACCATGCTGTACATTAAAAGACATCTCAGGACTTACTTATTTTATAAATGGAAGTTTGTACCTTTTGACCCCTTTCACACATACTGCCACCCCTCTCCCCCCTCTGGCAACCATCAATCTGTTCTCTGTAACTATGAGCTTGTTTCCCCCACTTTTAGATTGACATATATGTGCAATTAAATGGTATTTGTCTTTCTCTTTCTTACTTATTTCACTTAACATAATGCCCTTAAGTGTTATAATGTACCCTGCGAATCACAGAAGGACGCCTCAAGAAGTTGAATTAACGAGTCACATTTATTGCAATCCGGGACTATGAGGGGGCATCTTGCTCTCCCAGAACTCATGGTGATAAGTGTTGTGCCCAGATTTCAAGATTCCCAAGGGCCCACCAGGGAGCCAGCGAGTCCGATGCAAAAGCAAAGAGTCATTTATTTCAAACCTAGGTTTGGCTCCCCTGCCCCCCCTTACTGGCACAGCAGCAAGTGGCAGAGAGAGGGAAAACTCTGTGGAGAGAGGTTTTATAGGGGTTTGGGGTAAGGGGAGGAGAAAGGACTGTGGGCCCTGCCGATTGGCCAGGCGCGAGTCGGTGTCTCATTACACAGGATGTGGTCATAGTGATGGCGTGCACTTCCCTTGACTATCATTGGCCAGTCCAGAGAAATCCTGGGCGTGGCCAGCAGCGGCTTGGCTTCCGGGGGGAAAAGCCTTGCTGAGGACATGGCCAAGGTAAGATGGAGGGCATAGCCCTTACCCTGGGGCAGGGTGGAGGGCATAGCCCTTACCCTGGGGCAAGGTGGAGGGCGTAGTCCTCGCCCTTTCAATAAGATGGCCGCAAAACCAGGTTTATTTAGGCAAAAATCACAAAGGTATTGATTACATCCCAGGGTTTGGAATGAGGAACCTGGTTCGCAAAAAAGCAGTTTACAGAAACAGAATTAAGCATGTTAATTACACTTTTGGGTCTTGAGACCACTGAGTTGCCAGGAACTCATTATCTAGAGCCATCGAGGTAATTTAGAGTAATTGCGCTGTCCTGGTCTTGGGGCCACTGAATCAACTGGAACGCATTATCTGTGGCCACTAAAACAATTTAGGATAATTGTGCTGTCCTGTTTCCCAGGTACAGAAGAATGTGCTTTGATAACCAGTAAGATCACAATCAATGGGATATTCACATTACAGTTAATAAGGTATTCAATCGCGTGGGATGATTTATACAGTTCAGGAAATCAAAATAACTTTTCTATTGTTAAACAAAGCAACTAAGTACAGAAGCCAAATAACAGGATTAAAGTTAAACTACAGTTTCTACCTGAGATGATTGCTACCATACTTCATAAGGTCTACCACATTTTAACCTCTTCACATGAATTCTGGGGCTTGCTTTTGATTCTGACTCTAACCCAGCCGTGGGCAAACTACAGCCCGCGGGCCAGATCCGGCCCGTTTGAAATGAATAAAACTAAAAAAAAAAAAAGACCATACCCTTTTATGTAATGATGTTTACTTTGAATTTATATTAGTTCACACAAACACTCCATCCATGCTTTTGTTCCGGCCCTCCGGTCCAGTTTAAGAACCCATTGTGGCCCTCAAGTCAAAAAGTTTGCCCACCCCTGCGTCTAACCCCTATGAATGTTATGTGTCCCAGCATCTGACTCCAGTGAGGGAAGCAGGCATGTTTACCCTGATCCCTGTCATTGCAGGGGTCAAACGCCCTGAAGGGAGGTTGAATGTATGAGCAGGGAAGTGGCTGCAGAGATGTGTGGTTGTGTGCATGTGGGGGCTGGCGGTGGAGAAAGTGTCTTTTAAGATGAAAACTGAACATTGCCCATGTTCAGGGCAAGGCAGAGGGATACGATGGAAGGACAGATGGGAGGATAAAAAGTAAGGGACTAAATCAGGAAAATAGAGAAAAACAGGACAATAGAGGACTAAAGAGATGAGGACAAAAAAGGAGCAAAGAGCAAGAGTCCAGAGCAAGGGAATGGAAGAATGTATATGGAGACAAGACAGAAAAAAAGGAAATGATGTGGATGGGCATAGAAAAAAGGAATCATAAAGCACCATAGCACCTTCTACATCTTCCCTCATAAGATTCTTCATATTTTATTGTGGTATAATTTTCTGGAAGGCATGTTTCATAGGGGCTGGTTTCAGGGATGTCGCACGGAGTGTCTTACCACTTAATCCCCTGTGTCTGGCACATAGAAATTAATTGGATGAGTAAATGAATGAATGAATGTGGGAAAAAGAGAACAGAGGACAGGCAGACAAGGATGGAGGGAAGAGTGATACACGGTAAGAGAGTAATGAAACAGATAAGATTGTCACTCTTGGAAGCCCTGGCTTTGAGCATGTTAACGTGAAAAACCATTGAAACCTGTAAAGAATTTTGTGAGTTTATTTGAACCAAACTGTCGACATATGCCGGGAAGCAGAACCTCAATGAACTGAGATAATGCTCCGGAGAACGGCGGGGTTACATTTCTATTTATACATTCCAATCAAAGGAGGAACATAGGTGGGTTACATGAAATTCATTGGTGATAGACTAAGGAGGAGGGATAAAGCAAAGCGGGGGGAAACCCCTGGGATTGGATAACAAGTAAAATGATGGACACATACTTAGGTGGGTACAGAAACAATTAACAAGGAATCTGTGGTATCTGTCCTGGGCCCAGCACACCTGGCTGTGCCCCAGGGGCTCCATAAAAAGGGAAGTCACAAGTTACCCAGACATCCCAAGGATATGTTATCTTAGATGCAAATAGACAGATAGGCTCACTTATGGTGAAGGTTGACCTTATCAGTGAAGATATCGGCTTAGGACTTACCTGCCCACCATAAGTGCTTTTAGTTAAAGTTTAATTTCAGATCATCCTTTGTGATTACTTTAGGTCTCTGAGTTTGCAAAACTGCCATGCAGGCTTCCCCTGAGCTTGTCAGGTCAGCATGTGGCCCCTTTCGTCCACAAGCACATCCAACTGGGGTGGACATTGACTTGCAAATATGCTCAGTGTAGCATCACCAAAAGGATGCCTATGTACCTGGACAGTCATTGAATAGAATACTCAGACCATGCCACCACTCGCTCACCCAACCCCAGGGCTCAGCCACCTCGGGCCTTAAAGTGGCAGGAGTTCTGTAACCGGACAATCAATGGGCCCGTGCTGCCTGTTATTACTTGAGCCAATTAAGCAGAGACAGGGTTGACTTCTATATGAGTGTTTATTCATTATTGCCGGCAGCATGGGAGAGCAGCAGGTCATCCACAAAAATCTGCTCTGCACCCCACCATAAGCCAGCTGCTTAAATTGATTAGAAGGACAAATATTACATGAGGAAATAGCCAAAGGGTATGCCAAATGGGCAGTTAACAGGTAAGCAGGCTGGAGATTTGCAAAGGCCTGCAGGCATGCAAAAGGGCTGGGGATCTTCGAAGGGCTTAATGATATGCAAGAGTGGAGGATCTTCAAAGAGCTGGTGATTCTGGTTTCTACCAGAAAGCTGTTAATCTTTCCATGATAATAGG